ACGAGTTCCCCCCGGGGCCCGATCCGGCGGTGCCGGGGAATGGGCCTCTGGGGCGGGGTTTTCCCCGCCCCCCGGGGGGACTTGGGATCTCTAATGGCACTATACCCCACCGAGGTCCCTGTCTTCCCCAAGTTCCATTCCCAAATCTCCAGGAGCTCCCCAACATGGATTTGGCAACCCTACCCACCATCCCCTGTGGGAGGCCAGAGGAGACCTGGCAGCCCTACATACCACACTATACCATACTGCTTTCCCAAGACGCCCATGCCTGCTTTCCCAAGAAGCCCTACATACCACACTATACCATACTGCTTTCCCAATCCAACATGGATTTGGCAACCCTACCCACCATCCCCTGTGGGAGGCCAGAGGAGACCTGGCAGCCCTACATACCACACTATACCATACTGCTTTCCCAAGACGCCCATGCCTGCTTTCCCAAGAAGCCCTACATACCACACTATACCATACTGCTTTCCCAAGACGCCCATGCCTGTGCTAGCCGCATTAAGCGACTTTGCACAATCCACTCCTTTCAACAGGGTTCCCATGGGCTGCTAACACAAACAAAAAGAGAGAGAAAAGAACAAGGCAGCCAAACAGATGCATCAGGCTTAACTCCCAATTAAAAACATGTCATAGAAAAAGCAGTGAGTCACATCTGCTGCGTAGGAAGCCCTCTCACCTTATCCCAGATGTTTGTGCATTCAAAGGAAAAGCTTGCTGTTCATACTCTGTTTTTTCAGATAGTGAAAGAATATTTATTTTATATTTGTTGCATTTATTGTCTGTCTGCCATTCTTGTTAAGACCCACTAGGGTAATAGGCTAATTTTAATTGCCTGTGAATTTTTAGGCAATTTTTTTTGTTTCCTCCCTCTTTATAACTGCATTGTTTCATTGACTACAGTAGGGTGCTTTTCATTGTTCCCTAATTGTGAAATCCAGTTTACGGCATGTCTTATACCGGTTTTATTTTATTGTCTGTTCATTGTGTGATCTAGTTTTATGACATTGTTCCTTGTTAGGATTATACTGGTCTTTACTGGATCGTTTTGATAACTCTGGGGTTGCTATGGCAGAGGAAGGCAATGGTAAACCCCCCCTCTGGTCATTTCTGGCCTCGAAAACCCTTTGAGGGGTTGCTGTCACTTCGTTACTATTATTAATCTGCCTTGAGTCTTAACAAGAAAGTCAGACAATAAATTAAAGGAAAAAAACCTTAATCCTAGTTTACTAAGATTAATTTATTTAATTTGCTCATTTAAGATTAGCATTGAGTGCTCCAATATTAAATGACAGGCAGCATAAGACCCAGAGTGAAAGCTGGGAGATCTGGGTTCAGATCTGTACTAAGACAGGAAGGTCGCTTGCTGGGTGACTTTGGCCCAGTCGCTCTCTCTCTCAGACTAACCTTCCTCACATGTATCCTTGCCTACCTCCAGGTCAGACCTGGAGTTCTCCTGAAATTCCAACTGATCGCGAGTAGAAGGAGCAGTTTTTATGGAGAAAATGGCTGCTTTGGAGGGTGGCATCACATCCCTAAACGCTGCCCTCCTCAGGCTCCCCCTCCAGATCACTAGGAAGTTCCCATCCCAGAGATGGCAACCCTGGGGTCACTTTGGGAATACAGCGAAGGGGAGAAGCCCTGAATTCCTTGGAGGGAGGTCAGGATAAAACAAGACAGCAAAACCAACAGATACACCTTTCTCCATCATGACAATGCCATGGCAAGAAAGGCTGCATCTGTTGTACTTCTGACTGCCATATATGCAGCTCTTCGAGACTCAGGAGCCCTGCCAGGAAACTGAATGCCTAAAAAGCATTCTGCACACGCTCACTGGCTCCCCGTTTCCCAGGAGGGCTGACCCCCTAGCAGCTAATGAACCAATCAAACCCCAGGATTCAGATCCAGTCAAATAAATCACGACGACTCCGCTAAGTTTTGCACTCTTCAGAGGGTACCTCGGAATCACACGCGCGCTCACCGAACCCAGTTCTCAAGCCTCACGGCCAACAAGAAACTCCATCGCGCAGGCGCACACCGTTGCCCTCACTTCTTGTGTGCCGGGTGACGTTGCTCCGCCTTGCCGTCCGCGCATGTGTGTGTGTGTGGGGGAGTCGGTAGCCATGGTTACGGGACGCGGAGCGCTGCTCGAGCCGGTCTCGAGCTCGGTGCAAAGAAGGTGAGAAGTGGAGCCCGCCTGCGGCCATGACTGACATCTTGTGCGACTGGCTGAACAGAGAAGTGAAGCTCTCGCGGGTAGTGGGTGAGTCCGGGGATATGCAAACAGGTGGGGGAGAAGGGCTTGCGTTGCAAAGAGGGAAAGCAGCAGGCAGGGGCGGATTCTCTCTCTGGCCCGTCACGGGCACGGAGAACGAGTGGAAGTGAGCGCTCGGTTCTTGACCGAAGAGTTACCGCGGCTTAAATTTGCCTGGCAAAAATCTTCTCCTTTTGTCCTTGGTCCCAGTCCCAGAGGTGTGAAGTTCTTTGTCTATTTCGTTTTTGGTTATGCAGCCTTGCTGAAGGAAAAAGTACTTTGCACGTGCCCAGAGGCATTCTGTTAAACGAAAAAGGAAAAGAAAAAAACACCATGTGTCTTGGGGCACTTTAAACAAGTTTTTGTTGTAACGTAGAGCTCTCTCGTTTTTATTTTACCATAACTTTAGGCGGACAGACTAGAGCCCACTTTGTCAGATAACCAGGCATCTGATGATGTAGCTTCTGATCCACTAACGTTTGTCTTATACTAAAAGTTAGCTTTTGTTACAAGTCTCTTGTTTATTTTTGCTGCAACAGACAAATGCCGCTTCTCCTATAGATCTATTAAGTACATTAATACCTGTTCTATATCTATTTATTAACTATGTATTTCCAGGATAGACTCGGGTGGGTAGCTGTGTTGGTCTGAAGCAACAGAACAAAGCTTGAGTCCAGTGGCACTTTTAAGAACAACGAAGTATCTGAAGAAAGCTGATACCCAGAATTAAACTTTGTTGGTCTTAAAGGTGCCACTGGACTCAAAATTTGTTCTGTATTTCCAGGATGTTCTTTAACACTGAAAATGGGTGCAGGACTCAGTGCTGCCAGTGAATACTTTGCCTCAGTCCCAGATGTATAAATCCTTTGGGGGGGGGGTAGTCAACCTGGCCCTCACCTGGATGGCCCAATCTCATCAGATCTCAGAAGCTCAGCAGGGTCAGCCCTGATTAGTACTGGGATAAGAGACTCCCAAGGATGTCTAGGGTTGCTACACAGAGCCAGGCAGTGACAAACTGCCTCTATTTGTCCCTCGCCTTGAAAACTATGGTGTAGCCATGAGTCGGCTGTGACGGTCCTTTCCACCAGCAGTCAGCCTCATTGACGGAAAAGTTAACTTGCCCAAGTAGTTCATATTAAATCACACACTCCCACGATTGGTTTTAGCACTGAAAGTAGGCTCTGGGGTTCTGTTTTCAGCAGATGTTTAGACTGTGTCTCTGCTCCAGTTCCTCTGGAAGGCCAACAACAGAGCATTGAGGTTGAGGCCTTCTCTTGATGTTGACTCCTGGCTGTGGGATTTAGAAGTTTAGTGCCTCTGAATGTGGAGGTCCCCCTCAGTCACCATGGCTAGTAGCCACTGATAGATTTATTCTCCGTGAATCTAATCCCCTTTTAAAGCAGATTATTCCTGTGGGATAAGAGGATGGGTTCTCTTATGGATTAAAAACTGGTTAAATGACAAGAAGCAAAGAGCAGGAATAAAGTGACAGTTCTCACAGTGGAGGAGAGTAAGCAGTGGGGACCCACAAGTATTGATATATTGATACTGGGGTTGGTACTATTTAATTTATTCAGAAATAATCTGGTATAGTGGTATAGTGACAAAATTATTCAGGATGGTGAAAACCAAGGCCGACTGTGAAGAGCTCCAAGAGGACCTCTACAAACTAGGTGAGTGGGCGACAGTGTGGCAGATGAAGTTAAATGTTGGTAAGGGTCAGGTGATGCACATTGGGAGGAAAAAAAATCCCAACTCCCCCCCCAATAATTTTTTAAAAATTAAATATAAACAAGTAACATATTAATAAACATAACAAAGCCCTAATGATTTACAACAACTTAAAAAAAGTTATTTGCCATCTGGAAAACAAATACAATTACTACATTAGAATGAATACAAACAACAAATCTCAACTTCAAATATTGGGTAATGGGGTCTGAACTTGCTGAGTCTGAGAGGGAAAAAGATCTTGGGGTTGTAGTGGATGACTAAATGAAAGTGTCAACCCATTGTGTGCAGTGGTAAAAAAGGCAATCTCTATGTTAGGGATTATTAGGAAAGGGATTGAGAATAAAATGGTCAAAACTGTAATGCCCCTGTACAGATCTATGGCGTGGTCTCATTTGGAATACTTTGTACAGTTCTGGTCACCATATCTCAAAAAGGACATTGCAGAGCTGGGAAAAGGTACGGAAGAGGGTAACCAAGATGATTAGGGGGTTGGAGCACCTTCCCTGTGGGGAAAGGCTGAAGAGCCTGGGAGTTTTCAGTTTATAAAAGAGACGACTAAGGGGGAACATGATAGAGGTTTGTCAGGGCTGAACTCATTAGCATAATTGGCCACACCCCTGAGAGCACAGGTCATTAGCATATGAGGCCACACTCCCGTGTTACCAGAAGTGTGGTCATTCAGTCACACCCACCTTTTGCTTCTTATTCTGTTTACCTTGTTTGTGGTCAAAAACAGGGCTTTTTTTGTAGCAGGAACTCCTTTGCATGTTAGGCCACACACCCCTAATGTAGCCAATCCTAATGAGTCTCTGCTGTTGGGTGTGGCCTATTATGCTAATGAGTTCCTGCTGGGCGTGGCCAACTCAGGAGCCAGCCGGAACTCCGTTCCTGTGCGTTCCTGCCCAAAAATAGCCCTGAGGTTTATAAAATTATGCATGGGATGGAGAGAGTTGACCAAGAGAAATTTTTCTTCCTCACCCAAAATACTAGAACTCGAGGGCATCAAATGAAGCTGATGGGCAGTAGCTTCAGGATGGACAAAAGAAAATACTACTTGACACACAAAGTGATTAAATTGTGGAATTCACTGCCAGAGGATGTAGTGATGGCCACAGGAACACACAGCGTTAAAAGAGGATTAGAGAGATTCATGGAGATTCACTGATGTACCTCAGTGGCTACTAGCCATGGTGACTGAGGGGAACCTCCACATTCAGAGGCACTAAACCTCAGCATGCCAGAGCAAGGAGGCAACATCAGGGAAAGGCCTTGGCCTCTATCTGCTGTTGTTGGCTGTCCAGAGGAACTGGTTGGCCACTGTGTGAGACAGGATGCTGGACTAGATGGACCACTGGTCTGATCCAACAGGGCTCTTCTTATGTTCTTATCCTAGTTACAGTCCAAGCTCCTGGATTTAAGGCCACTTAATGCTTTCCTTTGGCTATTTTTGCAGTTGGATCTGAGTAAAGACCTGTTCCACTGTTCATTTATTATCCTCTATCGTATTTTCTAGTAGGTGTTAGATAAAAATGCAGGCAAAATTAGAAGCCCAAAAGGAGGCAGTGAGTACTCGGTCTGCCAATTCTGGTTTGGGAAATTCCTGGAGATTTAGGGGTGGAACTTGGGGAAGGTGGGGTTTGGTGAGGAGAGGGACCTCAGCGGGATATTCATTTCATCCAGGTTTCAAAGCTGCCGTTTTCCCCAGGGGAACAGATCTGCATAGCCTGGAGATCAAATGTAATTCTGGGAGCTCTCCAGGTTCCACCTGGAGGTTGACAACCCCAATGGGCTTTGCCAGAGGCAAAGAAGGACACTTGAAAAATTAGCTTGCAATTGGGGACCTTCCTCATATGCTTCTGGGGTAGCTAGTAGGAAGCATTTGCCTTTTGCACGTGTCTTTTATAAAGGCCCATGTGGTTGCTTTGATTTCTGTCCATCTTCTGCTCATTGCTTAGCCTCTGACATGGTACTAAAATCTCTGTTTGTTATAGCATGTTGGGGAAGTGGATAGGATTAGGAGAACAGCAGAGCAGGAGTAAAAGAGTCCTTGTCCTCTCTTGGACCTTTCAAAGGTCCAGGCACACTTGAGATGTTTGGCCATCTATATTGGAGACCATGAATTAGGTCATAGAATCATAGAGTTGGAAGGGACTTTCCAGGGTCATCTAGTCCAATCCACTGCATAAACTAGTTTGCTCTGGAGCCATCTTTCCTGAGCTAAGACAAAAATGTGTGAGCCGGGGGCTAAAAAACTGTGAGCTAGCTCACACTAACTTATCTTAGAGGGAACACTGGTCCCAGGACAGATCCTTGTGGCACTCTACTTGTCCCTTCTCTCGAAGAGGATGAGGAACCATTAAAAAGCACTCTTTGGGTGCAATCTGTCAACTGGTTACAGATCCACATAACAGTCATAGGATCCAAACCGCATTTTACCAATTTGTTAACAAGAATATTATGTGTAACCTTATCAAAAGCCTTACTGAAATCAAGATAAACTATGTCTACAGCATTCCCCTGATCCAACAAGGTAGTAACTTCCTCAAAAAAAGAGATAAGGTTAGTGGCTCAGATATCACTGTTTAATACAGGAGTGTGTGATAGGTATATATTGTGGCTTCCAAGCGTACTCCCCCTCCCCTGTTTTGCAAGACCAAGAAGGCAGTATAAATAGGTGGTTTTTCAAGTGCCCCCCCCAATGTTCCACTGTACATAGCTAGTAGGCTACATCTGGCCCTGCTGGTGGACCTCCTGATGGCACCTGGGTTTTGGCCAATGTGTGACAGAGTGTTGGACCATTGGCCTGATCCAACATGGCGTCTCTTATGTTCATTTGGCTCTGTGGCTCACAGGTTGAGCAGGCTTGCCAAATGCTTTGGGAAGTAGGTTTGTATGTACCTGGGTATGTTTTCTCAGTTCGTAAGTGAAATACCTTTGTAGATGGCACTTGTTCTGAGTTACACAACACTCCCTTCACGTTCCCAGAACTCCCCTTGGGGGGAAAAACGACAACAACAGGGAGGGTTTTCGTCAGCCAGAAGTCTTATGTGGATTCAAGAGACGCAAAGCGGTTGGGTTTCCTCAATTAACAAGGACTCTGGAGGGGCAGACCTCCCTCGTACGTATGTGTTTATCCAGCGGTTCTTACTGTTTCAGCTACAAATGCCTTTCCCCCAGGGTAAAAATCATATCCACGCTGAGCAATGAAAATTCTCTAATGGAAAGCAGGGCTAGTGGATTTCTAGCTCTCTTTGGGCTGTGGGAAGAGGCAATTATATAAACACTTAAATTGCCCTATATCGCCTAGGTTCTCTATGCCACGTACTGGGTTGAAATTATTGTGTCACTTCTACAAGTGAAGAGAGCCTTGAAAACACTGAGAAATTGTGCCTGGTCCTTCTACTTGTGTGCTCGTGTAGGACTAATTCATACATTAAAAGACAGAGGGGTAGGTTTATGGTTGCCATCCTCCAGGGGGTGGCTGGAGATCTCCCACTATTACAACTGATCTCCAGGCAACCGAGATCAGTTCACCTGGAGACAATGGCTGCTTTGGAAGGTGGACTATGGCATTATAACCCATTGAAGTCCCTCGACTCCCCAAACCCCGCCCTCCTGGGGCTCCACCCCCAAATCTCAACATACTTCCCAACCTGGAACTGCTAACGCTAGGTAGGTTCCCTGGAGATTGTTTCTATAAAATTATAGCAAAATGTGGTTTGGGCTTATACTTCATCTGATCCACCAAGGCTCGTTCCAAAAAATACATATGATAGTTCTTCAGTTGGTTTTTTGGCAGGCTTGCCATCCCCCCGCTGTGAGTGGAGGGTCCCCACTACCAGTGGGCGCTTCCCTCTGGCAGAAGAAAAAATGTTGGGAAACGGGGCGGCACGGAAGGGGGGAGGAGACATTCTGATGTACTGACATAACTCACTGTGTTACTTCCGGAAGTGACCGCAGCCTGTTGCCAGCAACATCATTAGCACACCAGCAAGGGTCCCCGCAAAGGGGCAGCTCTGGTAGGCCATTTCTACACGGGTTATCTGCCCTGGGTTCAGTGCTATGGGGAAGCGGATGTTTTTCCTGCTTATCCATAGTATCGTGGTACATTCATACTCCTCTGGGTGTTTCCCTGGTTTTCCCCAGTCTTTCTGAAACCTGCTTTGCTCTGACGTTTTGGGAAAGATTGCAGTGGAAGTTGGACGGCTGCTGTGTGAGTGGGAGAAATTGGATTTTCGTCCTCTCGTGGCATTCATTTTTCTTCACCCTGCGGCGTGCATTTCCTCCCCCATGCCACTTGGGCGGGGGTATTTTTTTTAAAAAATGGAACTAGAATATCATTAAAGCAACATACTATTGCAACAGTAGGTAAAAGAATTCTCCGCTTTCATTGTTTTAAAAAAGTAAGACTCTAGCCGTTTCCCTTGCCGAGTTATAAGGATAAAGGCACATCTTCGCAACGAACAAAGCATTTCTTTCCTTCTTTTTTTTTAAAAAAGAGAAAGCTGAGAATTCATAGAACTCATGACATCTATTGTTACGACATTGTATCTATATAACAGTATTCTAGTGTTGATTTTTTTTTTTAAGGCAAAAGTCCTGGCAACTCAGGGGAGCCACTGCTGTAGGTCTGAGGCAGGGAGACTGCAGGGTAACCTGCCACGTGGGAGCCCCGTTGCCACTGTGTTTTCTGTATGTTTTAAGCTCCATCCTACATTGCCTCCTAAATTCAAGCATCGATCACTTGATTTCCTCTGGGGGCTCATTCTGACATAATGATGGAGCTTTTGGGGATCCTATAAGATCAGCTGCAAGGTCAGTATCGTCTGCTCAGACTGGCAGTGGCTCTCCAGGGGATCAGACAAAAGTCTTTCACATCACTGGCTACTTGGTCCTTTGAGCTGAAGGTTCCTGGGATTGAACCTGGGGCCTCCTGCATGCAAAGCAAATGCTGTACCACTTAGCCACAGCTCCTCACCTGGTCCTATTGTAACCAAGCTGATCTTCCTTTCCCAGTCCTCATGCCAAGATAGAGGTGATATGATGGCATATTTTGTAGGAACTGCTGGGCAGAGTGCAATTGATGCTCAAGTTGGTAAAGGGAAAGACAGTCCAACCAGGGCTATTTTTGGGCAGGAAGGCACAGGAACAGAGTTCCGGCTGGCTTCCGAGCTCACCCCTCCCTCGCCAAAAGCCCTGCTGTTGCGGTATTTGAGTGCATAGATTTTGCGTCAAAAACTGCCTCTTTTGCAATTTTGAATTTTGCCACTAGATGCCTCTGCTGTACTTCCCCACTAACTGGTCACTGCAATGCCTTGCTTCTCAACGCTCACTGACTGAGACCTCTGATTTGAGAGAAGACTGAGCTTGGGGTCCCGTTTAGCTGTGGGACGTTTGCCGCATACAGTCTTTTTTCTTCATTTTGAGGCTTGGTTTCTGTGTACTAAGCAGGTAGAAGAAGCAGGGGTGTGGCCTAATATGCTAATGAGTTTCTGCTGTTGGGTGTGGCCTATTATGCTAATGAGTTCCTGCTGGGCTTTTTCTACAAAAAAACCCCCTGAGTCCAACAATATATTGGTTCTATGCCATGAAAGGCTTTAAAAGTCAAAATCATCACCCTATTTATTTATTTATTTGAAACATATTTATTTGAAACATATTTATCAGCCACCTTTCTACTTGCTGGAACTCAGGGCGGATTATGATGTAAATAGAACATAAAACATAAAAATACATAAAACACCAGGGATTACTATCAGAGCTTAAAACTGCTGATAGGTAGGAGAACTAAAGTAATTGAATTCTCTCCAGAATAATATCATCTTCAGCTGCCTGCTAAAGATTGAGACAGTGTTTTATGTATAGCCACATGAGCAACAGGGAAACTACAGTAGACTGTCCTCATGTGGAAACGACCCTTGTCTGTTATAGTAAAGTAAAACAAAAGTCCAGTGGCACCTTAAAGACTTAAATCTTTGAGGTCAGTAAAACAAAAGTCCAGTGGCACCTTAAATCTTTGAGGTTTTACTGGACATTTCTTTGGCTGCCTGCTTTGTCTTGCAAAACAAGAATATTGTTTGGTTGTTGTGGATCAGAAGTAGATTGTTGATCGGTGGTTCCTTGTCGAGCCAACATCCCCTACCCATCCCCGAGAACAGTATCCGTGCTACCTGAACTGCATGGGAATAAACCACGGGGAAACAGCGTTCATGCCTCAGTGATAACGTACCAATCAGCCCTTAGATTTGAACAAACTGCTGATGAGTCTGGCAAAGCCAAGTAAGCCCTGATTGATATTTCTTCATAGAATAATCGAAAAGTCAATGGCAAAGACAGCTCTCTCTCTCTCTTTTCATTCAACCAGATCAAGAATCTTTTCCTAGAGAGTTTGCCTCTGGATACCTCATTGGAGAACTTCTACACAAGTATGAACTTCAGGATGACTTTGACCAGTTTTCGCAAAGCAGGTTAGTAGTTTAAAGGTAGCTCTAATGCAGCATTTCCGGGCATCAGATCATTGACAGGTGTTACACTGAGATTCCATTGACTTTAGTTTGTGCAAATCGCAATATTACCACCCGTGCTGCAATTCCTGTAAGATGGAGCGCTGCTGGTTAATGGAGGTTGCTGCTGCTAACTATCCTCAGCGCCTTTAAGCCTATTGCTAGAAAGTGGGGGTGAGTTATGCCATCTGCACAACAATGCCATGTGCCCAAACACGTTGTGTACGTGTCACCTAGAAGATCCATCATATATGGGCGGAGGGATGTAACATGGTAACTTGGAAGGAGAGATGAGTGAAATCAGAAGTTCCCGGATCAGGATGATTATAGCTCAGTGGCAAAGCACCTTTCTTTGTTTTAAAGTGTATATGCTACGTTTTCAGTTTTACAGGATCTGAGGTGGTTCACAATTCCATACCGACATCCAGGGGTCATTTCGTAGAAAAAGAGCTAGGGGAACTCATTAGCATAACTCATTAGCATATACCACGCCCCCTGACATCACTGGAAGTGTGTCATAAGGCCACACCCCCTGACATCACCAGACGTGTGTCATAAGGCCACACCCCCTGCCATCACCGGAAGTGTGTCATAAGGCCACACCCACCACTCAGTTAGTCTTAAAGGTTAGTCTTAAAGGTGCAATTTGTTAGTCTTAAAGGTGCGGGAGTGCGAGGAAGCCCCGCGAAGGCCCCTCGCCCCCAACGGTCCCAGCCACCGCCACTGCCGGCCTTGCGGCTCCACTGCTGAGCCCCATCAGATGCCCGGCGGTGGACCTGCAAGGCTGG